ATGACTGGAAACTACTACCGCAACGACCCAACAAAGAAAAAGCAAATAATGCTCCGCCATTATCATATCCTACTGCACCAAAAATAACACTTTCTAAATTTAATGATTTGCAGGATATGAAAAACTTTATTCCTAAAGATTTTCGGCATTTTTATGAGTCTCTTGCTCATGAGTAAATAGAGGATATTAGCCAGTTATAAATTATCACAATTTTTATTTTTTATTTTTTTTTTATTCTTATGGACAGAATTTAATTTAATAGTGAATATTAGCAAGTTTTATAAACTACGGCTATTTTGGTTTTGATTTTTTTACTTTTTAAGTATAAAGATTGGTTGTCACTACTCGTTTTTAAGAATATTTTATAAGTTTTATACCATAGGTGATGTAATGTAATAAATTAACTAAAAATAATTTAATTTATTGCTTTTTTTTAACCTCGGAAGTGGTTCTTTTGAGACAAAACCTCGTAAGTTTACTGACAGTTTAAGATTTTAAGTTGCAAAACCTCGTAAGTGGCTTTTTGACAAAAAAAAACAATGTTACTAAATTTTACTTAAGAGTAATGTAATCGTTACCTCAAAAGAACCCTACACTCAAAAAACGAGAAAACTGAATGTTAAGTCAAGAAGCCAAAACGTTTTTCGTCTCTCCTGTAAAGTTACATAAAACTGACTTACGAGGTTTTGCAGTTTAACCGTCGATATACCATTGTTAGACTTAATGACATCTAAAAAACAATAAACGTAGGTTTATTTCATTATTATAATTGTATAGTGTCTCTGTTATTATATTATGTATCTAAATTTAAAGACTCCTACAGATGGTTTGGAATGATATATAGTTACAGGAGGAATGTGAGAAGTTATCGATCGAACGAATAATTAAATGCGAAATGTGAGCTGTGAATTAGAAGAAAAATTATAGCTGGATTATAAAAAAGAATAATAAAGCCTAAACTAGTAAGCCAGAGAAATTAGCAACAAATAAGCCTTTTCGTGACACTCTTTGATACATGTAGCTAACAACTGCTTTTAATAAATTTAGTGATAAGAATATGTAATGAACAAACTATATAAAAGATTAAACGCTATTTTTTACTCATAAACAATATGTAAACAATGTAAGATCGCTATTTGATTTGGTGTGGCAAAAAATACGATGAGTCGCTTAACTAAAGTTTTAAAAGAGATATCTATCTCTCAAAATATCAAGGTGAGACTGATAAATGCCCTTGTATTCTCAATATTTCTATAGGGGGCAGAGACTTGGACTCTTCACGGACGCGAACGCCAAAAAATTGATGCCTTTGGGATGTGGTACTGGAGAAGAATGCTGCTCATACCTTGGACACCTCATAGAACAAACGTTTCCATTTTAAACCAACTTGAGATTTAAAAAGGCTGTCCACAATAAAAAAGTCTGCAACGTATCCTGCAATTTTTCGATCACGTGGTTCCCAGAGGTGACGATAGTTTGGAGAGATTCATTGTTTCTCGAAACGTTCCGGGGAGAAGATCAAGAGGACGATCACCAACTAGATGGTCCGACCAAATCAAGAATTCAGCTGAAAACTCATTCTGCGAAGCTCCCTGAATAGCTGAAGATAGAGACCAATGGAGAAAAATTGTTAGGAATATTAGAAGAAATCACGATCCTCAGTAATGGAGAAACAACGAGAGAGAGAGAGAGAGAGAGAGAGAGAGAGAGAGAGAGAGACAGACAGAGAGAGAGAGAGACAAAGAGAGAGAGACAGAGATAAAAAGAGACAAAGAGAGAGGGAGAGAGAGACGGAGAGATAGTGAGAGACATATAGAGAGATAAAGAGAGAGAGTGAGAGAGACAGAGGGAGAGACATAGAGAGAGACAGATAGAAAGAGACACAGAGAGAGAGAGAGAAAGAGAGAGACAGACATAGAGATAGATAGAGAGAGAGAGTTTGAGAGAGACATAGAGAGAGAGACAGACTGAGAGAGAGGGAGACAGACAGAGAGAGAGACAGACAGAGAGAGATAGCCAGAGACATAGAGAGAGAGAGAGAGAGACAGAGAGAGATAGGGAGAGAGAGACACAGAGAGAGAGATAGGGAGAGAGAGATATAGAGAGAGATAGGGAGAGAGAGATAGACAGAGAGATATAGAGAGAGATAGGTATAGAGAGAGATAGGGAGAGAGATATAGAGAGAGATATATAGAGAGATAGGGAGAGAGAGATATAGAGAGGGATAGGGAGAGAGATATAGAGAGAGATAGGGAGAGAGAGATAGAGAGAGATAGGGAGAGAGAGATAGGGAGAAAGAGATATAGAGAGAGATAGGGAAAGAGAGAGATAGAGAGAGACATAGAGAGAAATAGAGAGAGAGACATAGAGAGAAAGAGAGAGAGAGAGAGAGAGAGAGAGAGAAAAAGTTGAAGACTGGTAAATTTATAGCTGGCCAATTGATATGGACAATCTCGACGAAGTATTCACGGGGGTAGGGGCGTTATCGTCCATAAACATAAAATTAGAATGTATGGCGCCTCAAATGGTTATTACATACCTTGCTCCCGTCATAGAATCTCCATTCACAAGAACCGAGTCAGTAAGGGCATCGAAACTTATACTAGACCAAACCAAATCTTAGCCTCCTTGTTAGGTTTTACTGTCGGTAATATTGCATTGGGCAATTCATTCTCCTTATCTTCTTCAGATTCTTACGCGACCGTCTAGTGACCTCAAGCAAAACCTGGTCTCATCTAATCTCATGAAAAACTGCTCGCCTACTTACATTTGCATATTTTGTACTTCGGGCGATTTGCCAGCTCATTTGAAGTCATAATTATGTCTATTTTGATATAAAGTTGAATGCTCGAATAATGAACTTTGAAAAATTAAAGGCAAATATCGAGCACAATTTTAATAATCAAATCTTGCCCAAGTACTTTCGCTTTCTACAGCATTATCAGGGGCATTTCGTCAAATGTGAGCTATCCAGCAAGCGCAGAATGTAATAAACATGAAATTGAACATAAATTGTACATAACATTACACTAAAACAAGGAAAAACAGTTTAAAATTATTTAAAAAATATTCTACGCTCTACATTCTTGTCGGCAACAGAAGAGAGAATGGCTCACTCATTCTATCTCCTGTTTGGGTTACTGTCAAATACAAAAGGGCTACAATTCGAACATTTAAGGTAGTCATGTATTAGTTAGTGGATTGCTTTCAAGTTATTTATTATAATTAAAAGTGAAACTGGAACAAACCAAGAAGTGGAGATATCCAGGAGTGGCTACTTGTTGAATACAAAGCACGTGGTGGTCGTGTGTATTAAGGTATAAAAAATGCTTATTAAAAGCTTAAAATTTTTATTTTAAAGAAGATCTTTTCGGAATTGACTCATTCCATCATCAGTTTACTAAAAGAGAGAGTAAAAATACCAATATTAAAAAACAAGTAAGTTAAAATTTAAATATACAAAAAGAACACGTTGGTTTTTTACTACTTACATAAAAAGTTGTCAAAAAAACATTGTATGGCCACATGAAAACATAGTAGAGAACTCCGTATTAAAAAACTATCTTCAAGGTGTTATTATCATATTATTATTATATAATCCGCCATATTTAACTCTATTCTTGTCACCATTAATACACTAACGTCCCCTTTTTTCAATATCCAATTTCCTATCCTCTCCAATAACTACCATCTAACTAATCACACATGTTTTCTTAGAAATACTCACTTTACATCCATCAATCTCTTACCACAATCAGTTTCAGTATCCCCAGCTTACATCTTTACATTCATCTCCTATTTCCTTTTCTTTATTTCTCTTTTATTTCTGTTTCCTCAATTCATCTTCCATAAATTTCAAACCAACTTTTATCTATACTTACTTCATACAAGGAAACAATTAGGTAACAACATTCTTTTTATCGCCTGTAAAATGATTTATTAATTTCAACTACCTAACTTAAATTTTGCCTTACCATGGTATACCAAATTTATTTTACATCACAGTCACTCATTGTTTTACACTCTTCCACCTTTTTAAAATACCAAAAATTGCTATTGATTCTACTACACACTAAACACAAGTCTTCACTAAAAACGGCCTATTCACAAACTTAGCACAATGACTTTTGCTCCTACTACATCATTCCACTTGACATTGACGGGTACTCACTGATTTTTCATACCATCTTTCTATCAGTTAGCCCTAGACTCCAGCACAGATCAGAGGTAATGTAAGTCAATAAAACCTCACCAACTACAGGGGGTCATGTAAGATGCCCCCATTTTCAGTTTTTAGTAATCTACAAATCAACAGTCTATTGCATTTACCCTCATAAACACCTTGAGGATAGTTTTTTAATACGGAGTTCTCTACTATTTTTTCATGTGGCCATACAATGTTTTTTTCACAACTTTTTATTAAACTGATGATGGAATGAGTTTATTCCGAAAAGATCTTCTTTAAAATAAAAATTTTAAGCTTTTAATAAGCATTTTTATACCTTAATACACACGACCACCACGTGCTTTTTATTTATTATAATTTATTAATATTAAAAATCAATAAAAATTGATTTTTTAAGTGCATGTCTTTCAAATTATATCCGTTAGACCTCCAGTATTATAATTTTTTGGAATCAGCTCATTTTTATCGATCTAAAAAGTCCTAAAATACAGGGTGTTACATTTAAAAAAAGAGCGGATTACGTCGTAACCTTAATGTGTATCACCTTGTATAATGAAATTTTATTGTAAAATGTAGAACAATAATAAACTTAAAAATTAACTTAATAGGCTTTTCATTTAGGAAATATCGAATTTATTCCATACTTTACGCACACACTGCATAGCGATCATACGAGTATGTGACCCTCAACTGCAGTAGGTATTGCAAATGTTGGTCAAACTGTTTTTGTGTATTTTGTTTAGTGTATTAAAAAGAATTTTTGTAAATTCAAATTAAAAATGGGTTTTTAGTTTAATAAATAATTATTTTTCAGAATCCAGGCTATATGAAAGACAAATTCAAATTAATTATAGAAACTTTACACGTAGGAGACAAAGGTAATCAAGAAAATGTGAGTAATCTATTTTTTCTTTCTTTTTTATGCTTTGGGATCATCATTTAACGTAAATGGTTGTGGTCGACATTTTCATTCCTCCCCGTACATAATTTGGTGTTGTGCAAATTGTGAATTGCATTTAAACAGAATCCTGGTTATATGAAGGAGAATTTTGTTATTTGTATTGAAAGTATGCATATTGCTGATAATGGCCATCAGGATAATGTAAGTATTCGGTAGTTTTCGACAAATGTACCGCTTTCTGCACAAATTTTGAACGCATCAGCACTTTAAATCAATATAATTATTTTTAGTGAAGGTTACTTCACATTAAGTTATTATACATGCAGTTCTGTCAACCGTTATTGATCAAGTGCGTTCCGCTCAATTGTTAAAATGTTAAAAAAAAGCCATTACTAATTGATGTTTTTGACCCAGGTAGTAATAGTTTGCCCCTGTCATCAGTAAAATTAGAAATAAGAAAGAAAAAGAACTAATAAAAGGTACATATGTATTCGGTAGATAACTACTAAACTTATAGCAAATTCTAGGAAGTATAAAGATAACATGCTCCTAAGTGTGATAAACCCCAATTATAGGACACCGAGAAGGAGGAAGAGTTATTGGACGATACGTAGACCAAAAGTATTGGAGATAAAGTGAAGTACTCTAGTGCAAGTGATATCGAGTTTTTTAAGTAGCAGATTATTAAATTTGACGCCAAAATCTAGTAAAGATTACATTTAATTAATACCAATGGCGTTTTCCAAGAATGCTTTGTACATATCTTGGATTTAACTTCAGAACATTCTGCAAAACATTCTGCAAATTTTGGAAAAGTAGCGATCTATTTCTCTACATAGTCTCACGGTTGTGAGATTGTCCGGAGTAAGCAAGTACGGCACCCATCGTGCCGACAGTTCTCATGCTCAAAATTTCATGCAGGATATGACATACGCGGTCTTTTGAGATTCCTACTGTCTCGCCTATGCACGAACCATATGGAACGTAAAACTGTCCTGTTGAGACCACATTATTATAACATGTATTTGGAGTTTGGAGAATACTTGGAGAAGCTTTTCCATGACCATAGAACAATACAAGAGCCCACCATTGAAGGAGATTCAGGTCCCGAAATCCTACCAGAAGAAATAACGGCGATAGTCAGACAAATGAAGGATGAAAAGGCACCGGGACTTGAAGAAATTCCTGTAGAACTGTTAATGCTGTACCTGCTGCTATTAGAAGACACAACAAATAAAAATAATAACTGAAATATTTAATGAAATATAGAAGGCAGAAAAATACCAGTAGAGTTGCTTAAATCGGAGTTGGTACCATTGCCCAAAAAACCAGGAGCAAAAGTTTGTGAAGATTATAGGACCATAAGCTTAATGAGCCATCTGCTGAAGCTGTTTTTAAAAGTCATCCACAAAAGAATTTACCGGAAATGCGAGGAACAAGTTGCGCCTAATCAGTTTGGATTTGTGAACGCCGTTGGTACGAGGGAAGCTTTATTTAGCGTGCATGTATTGGTTTAGAAATATAGAGATGTCAACTGTAATGTTTTTGCATGCCTGATTGACTACAAGAAGGTTTTCGATAAAGTCAGACATGAACAAATGATGGAAGTGCTGAAGAGGACATGGATTGATGGAAAAGACTTACAAACAATAGCTAACCTGTATTGGAATCAATCAGCAGTACTCCGAATAGATGGAGAATATACAGATCAGGTCCAAATCTTACGAGGAGTGAGACAGGGGAGCATAATTTCACCACTGATATTCAATCTGTACTCGGAGTACCATAGAAGGGCTGCAAAACTTAATGAACAAAATAACGGAAACAAGTAGAAAATATGGACTGAATATAAACACCAGCAAAACCGAGCTAATGATCATCAGCAATTAAAACATAACTGAAGCAAATCTGTATGTAAACAAAATGAGAATTGATCGTGTCTCACAGTACAACTACTTGGGAACTATAATCAATGAGTCTTGGGACAATACCCAAGAGATTAAATGTCGCATAGGAAGGGCAAAAAGTGCATTCTTGACTATGAGTTCTGTGTTCAAGAGCAATGACCTCACCCTAGAAACCAAGATAAGGCTCCTTAAATGTTATGTGTACTCAGTGCTTCGGTACGGAGTAGAAACGTGGACAGTGAATGCGGAAACTATCAAAACTTCAGGCTTTTGAGCTATGGTCATACAGAAGGATCCTGAAGATACCATGGACAAAGTCACCAATGAAGAAGTACTGCGGAGGATGAACACAACTGCGGATTTGGTCAACATCGTGAAGGGCCGTAAGCTGCAGTACTTGGGACATGTCATGAGAAATCAAGGCAGATACGAGCTACTTCAATGCATTTTGCAAGGTAAAATTGAAGGTAACAGGGCCCTAGGACGAAGAAGAATATCCTGGCTTGCTAACCTGAGAGCATAGTATAGAAAGATCTCAACACAGCTATTTCGTATAGCAACCAACAAAGTCATCATATTCAGAATGATCGCCAACGTTCGGAACGGACAGGCATCCTATGAAGAAGATTTGGAGTAAATATCATCATATTCAGACTAAAAAAAGTTGGTAATTATTGACCTATAACACTCACTTTTGATGGTGATAACCTGGCCATTGTCCTTCTCAAAGAAACGTGGAGCGATAACGCCATCAGCCCAAAATCCACAAAAAAGTGACCTTTTGGGTATGTGTTGGGCGCTCTTGGATATCGTCCCAATGCAATATGGACCTTTCATTCCAAAAATGGACCTAATCGCTGAAGACGATTTTTCGATGAAAATTAGTCAGTTTCCAACTGCGTTATAGCCCATTCAGCAAACACGTGTCGTTGTCTATGGTCGTTTACGTTCAGATTCTGGGTCAGTTGAATTTTGTGCAGGCCCAAGTCAAGATGCAAAAGTTGTGGTCTGAATCTTGTTAGCGACGTGAAATCCACTGCATCGGATTCATTTGCACATTATCACTGATAGTGCAGGTTTTTTCGGCAGAACGTGTGATTCGTCGACATGCGGGTGTTGGTTGATTGTTTACTGAACTAGTGGACACAAATCTATCGACCACACTGCTAATAGTCCTTTTGTTAGGACGATTATGATGACCGTAATATGAGCGAAGCTTGCGGAACGTTGTCCGAACCAAACACCCATTTTGATAGATGTATCTTCAACAATATGACCGTTATCAACTGTTCAAAGTTCGTAAATCCCTTATAGTTCCAGCCCAAGCGAATGTAACTCATATAGCCCCCCAAGCAAGGAGCAGCACAGGATGAAACAACAATACTTTTTAAATTACGCCACCTGCAACAATTGCTACAACATTGCTCCTTGTCAAAAGTAACATTAGAAAATTGAAAGAAAAAATTGTCATGTTCGTAAGAAAGATTCGTGAACACTTGATAATAATTTTAGCGAGAAAGTGAAACTCATACGAATACAAACCATACTACAAAGAAGATGTACAGAATATAAGGAAGAAGGATAATCTGAAATAGAAGTCTAGAAACCTAACCTAACCTCCGAAAATGGTTCTACTTGATTAGTACAGAACTTTTTAAGGCAACATTCAATGAAGTCAGAATGACCATGTTGGTATTCAACATCTTTATAGATAGGTACTATAAGAAGAAGCAAAATTAACGAATATACTCTCAGATCGGTTCCTTGATTATAAAAATCAAAAGCTTCACTACATACCAGATTCACTTCGGATTACCAATCTGAACGATTATTTTTTTTATTAAATTCAACGTTTATACTTACTTCAGACCTCTGCCTCAGCGGCAATCGATGAAGAGAAACGGTAACTAGGATTGTTGATTTTCTCTAAAATAATCCAGACGAACACTCCATTCCCAGGATTGCCTGACTAGATACTTCTGCCCATTACGGTACTGTACATTTACTTATATATGGTCAGATTTGAGAACAATGGGGCTACCCACTGACTTAAACATCATGGACGACCGTTCGAGATGGAAGTAGGTTATGCAGTCAGCCAAGACCCACCCCTGGTTGTAGTGCTACCAGAAGAAGAAGAAGATTACGGTACTGGTTTGAAACTCCTTTAGACAATGATTCGAATATAGCTAGCTCGTGATAGTGTAACGAATTGTGCAACGAGAATTGAAGTGATCTACAGGGTATTTAATGATTAATTCGATATTTTTTTATTGAAAGTTATCTTTGAAGTGAAGCAGTGAAGTTTGGCCAATGAAACAAAGAACAGAGAAACTGTTACTAACAACAGAAATGGACTTCTGGAGAAGAGCAGCAGGCAAATCAAGAAGAGATCGGATACCAAATGAGAGAATACGAGAAATGATGGGAGTCAAGCATACAATAGTTGATGACATAAAAACAAAACAGTTAATATGGTACGGCCATGTACAGAGAATGCCAGATGACAGGATTCCAAAACAGATTTTGACGTGGACACCACAAGGGAGAAGGAAAAGAGGAAGACCGAGAAGAAGATGGAGAGAGGGAATTGAAAAAGAACTAGAGGAAAGAGAAATCCCTCCAGGCCTATGGTTGAATAGAGAAGTAGTATATTTGAATAATAATTGAGCTTACTTGGTTTAATTACAAATTTACCACCCACAAGTTTCTTTGACAATAAGTTACAACATTAAATAATAAAATTATAAAGCACAAAAAACTGGAAGAATGGAGAACGAGCGAACTAATTCTACTATTCAAAAAGGGAGATAAAAACAGCCAGAAAACTACAGAGGTATAAACTTGTTAAATACTACGCTAAAACTTACAACTAAAATTTTACAAGTGCTAGTAAATCAGAGTATAAGTTTGGCAGATGAACAACAGGATTTTCGTAGTGGAAGATCGTGTACAGATGCAACATTCATTATAAAGCAAATTACTGAGAAATCACTACGCGCAAACGATGGAATGACAACTTTCCATAGAGGTATTAATCCGCCATCGAACAAGCAGAATTGCTTATAAAGAGGAAGAAGAAGA